TTGTTTAGAACACTGGTGAGACCGCAAATGGATTAGTGAGTGCAGTTCTGGTCTGCTTATCTAGGGAAGGATATACTCGTCAAAGCAGTGCAAGTTCACTAGATCAATTCCGAGGATGGTAGGGCCATCCTATGAGGGGACAGGACCTATAATTTCTGGTCTTTAGAAGAATAAGAGGCGATCTCAGAAACTTAAAAGGGATAGATTTAGTTGCAGAAAGGATGCTTCCCCTGGCTGTGGGGTCAACAATTAGGGTACAGACTCACAGAACCAAAGGCAAGTCATTCAGGACGGAGATTAGGAGTAATTCCTTGACCGTGGTTGGGGGAGGGGGGCCTCTGCAATTCTATAAACCAGAGTGCCATAGAAGCTCTTATCAAAAAAATCCAAAACAGAGATTGCTACATTTCTAATCACGTGCTATCCACGAATCCCTTGAGATAACTAAAGAGATGGTATTGAGGTAAATGGTGCATCATGATCTAGAAAGACAGAACAGGCTCGATGGGCTGAATGGTCTACTCATGCTCCTGTGCTTCCAAGCGTAAAAACTCATGTATAATATCTCTGATTGCCCAATATTGCATGAATATTTTACATAGACTGTGATGTTTGAAAACACACAGAGTTACACTAATCTGGAATTTTTTTTTGAAGAAAGAATACTGAGATTTGCCAGAATTCAATCAAGGTTAAAAAAAATGAACCCCGTCCCATAATTAGCATCAACAACAGAACAAGGTTTTCCAAGATCAGTTATAAAAGAGTTAGCCAAGAACCTTTCGCAAAAATCAGCAATTTATATAAAACTTATAGCACAGAAGCAAACCAATGTCTTTGCTTCTTACAAGATTCCTCTATTCACTTCATCTTACTCTCAACGTATCCTCCCAATTCCTTTTTCTGTATATACAGATTAGCTTGCCAATAACTGTACTGACGCAAGTCATCACAACCATTCCATCTAATAGCAAGTTCCATGTTCTCAGCACTTGGAATAAAGAAGTCTCTCCTAAAATTATTAGCAGATTTATAGTGTCTATCTTACCATTATGGCCTCTAATTTTTGGTACTACATCAAGTGGAACCATCTTTTATATGTCAACTTAACAAATACTTCAATTATTTCTTGTAGAAGCTTTCAACTAGCCGCCACTAATTCAAAATTTTTCTCGGGAAAAAGACCCTAAACTGGTCAGTGTTTCCTGACGCATACACAGTCTCAGTTTCAATATCATCTTTGCAAACGGTTTTTGCACTTTTCCCATTGTGCAACATGATGAAATCATTTGTGTCAGAGTCATGCAGCAGGAGAGAGACCCTTCAGCCCAACTTGTCCATGCCAACCAGGTTTCCTAAACTGAACTAGTCCCATTTGCCTGCATTTGGCCCGTATCCCTCAAAAACCTTTCCTATCCACGTACATGCCCAAATTCTTAGATATGTTGTAGTTGTGCTCATCCCTACCACTTCCTCTGGCAGGTTGTACCATACACACGCACCACCCTCTGTGTGAAAAAGTTGCCCCTCAGGTCCCTTTTATATCTTTCCTCTCTCACCTTAAACCTATGGCCTCTCATTTTGGACTCCCCTACCCTGGGGAAAAGAGCTTGGCTATTCACCTTATCTAAGTTCCTCATGATTTTATAAACCTCCGAAAGGTCACCCCTCAGCCTCCTATACTCCAAGGAAAAAAATGCCTCAGCCTATTAAGCCTCTCCTTATAACTCTAATCCTCCAAGATGATCAGTGGAATAGATAGGGTGGACAGTGGGAGCCTTTTTCCTCGGATGGTGGTGGCTAGCACAAGGGGACACAGCTTTAAATTGAGGGGTGATAGATATAGGACAGATGTCAGAGGTAGGTTCTTTACTCAGAGAGTAGTAAGGGCGTGGAATGCCCTGCCTGCAAAAGTAGTAGACTCGCCAACTTTAAGGGCATTTAAATGGTCATTGGATAAACATATGGATGATAATGGAATAGTTTAGGTTAGATGGGCTTCAGATTGGTTTCACAGCTCGGCGCAACATCGAAGACCGAAGGGCCTGTACTGCGCTGTAATGTTCTATGTCTCAAAACAGTGCTACACAATGGGCATTTTTTGGACTATGCTGCATGTCTAAAAGGTGATTCACATACAAAGAACTTTACTATCTCTAAGACTAAGACTTTCAAACCATTAGTCTGTCCTGAATTCAACTCAGGTCCCAGCAATGGAAGAACATACACTAATCTAGTCTTAAATTAGTTTGTACTGGTAAGATCTCTAACCCACAATTTTACTGTTAATGCTCTATATAACATTCAATTCCATTTGTTCTAAATATTGGTTTGACTAGCTGTTCAGTCCACCAAAACATGTTCTCTTATTTTAAATCTATTCAGAAAGCAAGAGCTGCTTTTAGTAACCCTGAAGTTGCCTTAATGGTGACTGATCTTCTTAAGCATTGCATATTGGGCCCAAAAAGCCACCAAACTGAAATGTGTTCTTTACAGCTCTTTAAATATTTAATCCAAGCTATGTTGATTGTATATATTTTTAAAATGTACAAGTACACATACAATTTATAATCACTGTGGGTTCTTCAAATAATACGAGTATATCATTAAGTGGGATTACTCAAATTGTACAGCACTACAGAAAGCAAAAATACAAATACAAATTTTTGACATGACATTTTGAAAGAGTTCTTATTTATCAAAAATCAAATCCCACTGCTGTTGTTCCTTTATGAATAATTTCAAATCTAGAATGCTTTTAGCCACTATGAACACCATAGAACCATCAGATTCAGAGCAGGATTAGGCCATTCGGTCCATCAAGTCACTCACTATTTGATCATGGCTGATAAATTTCTCAACTTCATTGTCCTGCCTTCACCCTGTAACACCTGACCCCTTACTAATCAAGAACCTACCTAACTCTTTCTTTAATACATTCAATGACTTGGCCGCCACAGCATTCTGCGTAGTGCATTCCACAGATTGATCACTCTGGCTGAAGAAATTCCTCCTCATCTCAGTTCTAAAGGGTCATCCCGAGGCTGTGTCCTTGGTTCCTAGTTTCTCCTACTGTTGAGAATACCATTCCTCATAACAATCGTTCTTGTAAACCTCCTCTGGACCCTCTCCAATGCCAGCACATCCTTCATTAGATATGGGGCACAAATCTGTTCAATATTTCAAACGCAGCCTGACCAGGGCCTTATCCAACCTCAACAATACATCATTGCATTTGCCTTCCTAACTGCCAACTGAATCTGCATGATCTTAAGAAAATCCTGAATTAGGACTCCAAAATCCCTTTGTGCTTCAGATTTCTGAAGCTTTTCCCATTTAGAAAATAGCCCATGCCTCTATTGGTCCTATCAAAGATCATAACCTCTCACTTTCCCACATGGGGCAAAGAAATGGCAGATGAAGCACACTCTCCTAGTCTATCCTTCTGCAGCCTCCCTGCTTCGTCAGCACTCTGTCCCTCCACCTATCTTTGTACCATATCACTTTCAAATGACCAAAAATGTAGACAAATTTTTTTGTAATGTATTATATGGCTCAGTGAAAGAGCTTCATAATAAAAACAGTTACACAAATTACATTTATAAAGTACTCAAAAATTTATTTCAACTTCTACTACACGTTTTGTATTTTCCTGAAGGGCATCGTACCTGCACAAAATGCTAAAACTGTTAGAAAAAAATCAAAACACTGTCTATATGGATTTCAGTTAGGCATTCGACAAGATTCCTCATGGTAGACTGGTTAGTAAGGTTAGATCACATGGAATACAGGAAGAACTAGCCATTTGGACACAGAACTGGCTCAAAGGTAGAAAACAGAGGGCAGTGATAGAGGGTTGCTTTTCAGACCGGAGGCCTATGACCAGTGGTGTGCCACAAGGATCGGTGCTGGGACCACCTCTTTTCATCATTTATATAAATGACTTGGATGTAAACATAGGAGGTGTGGTCAGTAAGTTTGAAGATGACACCAAAATTAGAGGTGTACTAGACAGCAAAAAAAGGATACCTCACAGTACAATGGGATCTTGAACAAATGAGCCAATGGGTCAAGGAGTAGCAGATGAAGTTTAATTTAGATAAATGAGGTGCTGTATTTTGGTTTAGGCAAATCAAGGGCAGGACTTGTACACTTAATGGTAAGGTCCTGGGCAGTGTTGCTGAACAAGGAGATCTTGGAGTGCAGGTTCGACGTTCCTTGAAAGTGGTGTTGCAGGTCGATAGGACAGTAAAGGCGGCTTTTGGTATGTTTGCCTTTATTGGTCAGTGCATTGAGTATAGGAGTTGGGAGGTCATATCACAGCTGTACAGAACATTGATCAAGCAACTTTTGGAATACTGCATGCAATTCTGGCTTCCCTGCTGTAGGAAGGATGTTGTGAAACTTCAATGGGTTCAGAAAAGATTTACAAGTATGTTACCAGGGTTGGAGGATTTGAGCTATAGGGAGCGGCTGAATAGTCTGGGGCATTTTTTCCCCTGTAGCGTTGGAGGCTGAGGGGTGATCTTAGAGAGGTCGGGAAAATCATGAGGGGCACGAATAGGGTAAATAGACAAGGTATTTTCCCCAGGGCGCGAGGGGGTCAAAAACGAGAGGGCATAGGTTTAAGATGGGAGGGATAAGATTTAAGAGAGACCTAAGAGGCAACTTTTTCACACAGGGTGGTACGTGTATGGAATGAGCTGCCAGAGGAAGTGGGGGAGGCTGGTACAATTACAACATTTAAATGGTATCTGGATGAGTATATGAATAGGAAGGGTTTATATGGATTTGAGCCAAATGTTAGCAAATGGGACCAGATTTATATGGGATATCTGGTTGGTATGGATGAGTTAGACCGAAGGAAGGGTCTGTTTCCGTGCTGTACATGTCTATGAATCTCTCATCTGTGTTGCTTACAAAGATTTTAGACACGCTGCTAATCACTAATGGTTAAAATAGCTATTTATACATCATTCTTCTTGACCATTCATACTTACCATTGACAGCCAAACTTTTCACTGTCAACTTCTATTCCTGGTGGGGTTGCCGATATTGAGCCAACTCTTGCTGCTGTGCAATCAAGAACAAAACATTGATGATATATGGTGGGTGGGAATGGGGAAGGTGGTGAAGGAATACCATTATATATAGTGAAGATATTTGGATAGATTTATTTTTCCGGTAAATAACTCGAATATTTGTTTTACATAAATTGTTTTTAACTTAGACATGTACTTTCCAACTAGGAAATCAAAGGGAAATTAATCCTCATTGTAAGTTCTGTTCTCCAAACACAACTTTGCATATAAACACTTGGGTTTACCTGATTGTATGTATGCTGGTAGATACTTTCAAATGTACCCACATGCTCTTATGTGACCTTCTGCATAGTAAGTGGCGCTCCCTCCCATTAATACTGGGATAAGAGCTTGAAATTACTCAGAGGTGATGTAAAGTCTCTGCACCAGCAGGTGGCATAATAGATCAGTGGGATAAAAGTTCTCAGTTCCTGAGATCATTTGGCCAATAAAGGAAGATGAGATACAGGAACCAGAAGTAGTGGTATGTAAAACAAACAAAAACAATCCTTTGGTTACTCTCACTCAATTTATTGTTTCCTGCACAAAATTGCACTGACAAAGATTATGCCAACCATCAACTCTTCAGTTGCTATACAATGTCTTGCGTGGCCTTATCACTTCTATCCTAGACTACACTGACTTGATAAGGCATCCCTGATCATCTCCCCATATACTCTTCTTAGCATATTCCTCTCAACCCATCCCCAAAAACCCATTTCACTCTGTGCATTTCTCTATTCCCACATAAAAACATTGCCTCAGGTCTAGTATCACTGTACTTTCATACTCCCAATTTGTCACTATATTTCTGCAGTTATTGGTTTTGCAAATCATTCCCTTTCCGCCACCTTTGATGCCCTTGTTCTTTTTAAAATCATTGCATTCTCAGCAGAGTCTGATATACCGCCTATTATCACATTATTTAAGTCATTGAACATGAACATCTTTGGCAGATATCTGCTTTAAATGATCTATTGTTAAATCTGGCTGGATTGTCAGTACCATCAAGTCTTGCCCTTCATTGCTACAACTGCCCAATGTTCAAAGATATCAAGGAAAGCTTACATAACACTACTTCAGTACCACAAATTGTCATCCTAAACCACTCTCCCCTGCTTCCTGCATCCTGATCTCCCCATTTCAGTGCAAGGAGTACATGGACATTTTTGTTACAAACATCACAATTAACCATTCAATTGCCTCTGCTGCTTCTTTCCTTCCCCTGCACCCCGCCCCCCTCCTTAATCAGGCAAACTTCCTTCAAGGATCCTTCTTGCCTTAACCCTGAATTCCACCTTTCTCCAGTTTTTCTCTCATTTCCCCTTACCTACTCTTTCACAGCTCATTTTGTAAGGAAGGCCCATCTTTCTCTCTACATACTATTCCTCAAACTATTGACCAAACTTCCCTTTATAGCTCCTACATTAGTTCATGTTGCTAATGGTTTTCTCATTTCAAGCACCGCGCCTTATGCATCACATTGCTTGCAAAACTGTTAAAAGAAAATATAACCCTTGACCCCACTATTGCAAACACTGACCTTCAACTGCCCTTTTGGCTCCACAGACATTGAACTTTTGTTAACCTCCTAAATTTAAACTCACATTTCTATGACCTTTACGGTTTAATACTTCCAATCAGATTTTCATCCAGCAATAGCCAAAACAGCTCTTACAAGACAAGACTCACAAATGGTGTCCTAAATTGACTGGAACAAAAATAAATAATCCCTGTTCTCGAGCTATCCACAGCCTTTAACAACATTTTGTTTCCAACACCTCTCTACTATGATTCAGTTGGTCAGATCTGCATTCCCACTTTATTGAGGCAGAGAATCAGAAGTACTTTACCTTGTGTCCTCTAAAAATTTATCCTTGGTCCCTGCCTCCTTTTCATCTGCATGCGGTCTTTGGGTGATATCTTCTGGCAATACATCAGTTTCCATACATGTACGCTGCCATTACCCAACTCCAAAGTTCCCTTTAAACTGTGTGGGCACAGGGTTGTGTAACAGTTCAGAACTTACTATGCAGTTACTATGCTTACTTGCATTCTGCACAAAAGCAGGAATCCCTACAAGAGACAGATGGCAATCTCATAGTTACTGCAATGGAGGAAAATTAAAGAAAACACTGCCCAGTTCTACCTCATCTACACCTTACTTGTTTTTCCACTGTTTCTAAATTATCAGACTGCTTGAATGACCTACAGTACTAGTTGAACAAAATTTCCTCCAATAACATATTCAAATGACCAAAGACATTGTCTCCGATTGCTGTTATAAACGTTGTTTTCTAACACCAACTCCATCCATCCACCTGACAGCTATCAAAAATTGAACCAGACTCTACATATCTTTGGTGTTGATTTGACCCGAAGATTGGCTTTCTAGCTGTTAGACTACCTTTTTGCAACTTCATAACATCTGAGCCTGACTGCCTCAGTTTACTTGCTATTGCAACCACCATCCTGCCTTTACCACATCTAATTTGGAAAACTGTGATGCACTCCTGGCCAGCCTACCACATTACACCCTCCACAAACTCAGCTACTGATGCCCAGCTAACCCACACTTCTAAAATTTTTTATTCCCATTTGCATTTCAAATCCCTTCAGGCCTTACACCTGCATCGCCGCTCTTCTAGCTTTCGAACTACCCTCTCCCAACACACAAAAGATTTTTCAGCTCTGCCAATTCTGGCTTCTTAAATGGTTCCAGTTTTAATCTCGTGTCACTGGTGGCTATGCCTTAAGATGCCATAGCCCTAAGCTCTAAAATTATCTCACTAAACTTCTTTGTCTTTCCACCTTTAGGCACTCCTTAAAGCCTACCTCTTGGGTGAAGCTTGGTTAACAGGCTTAATGTCACGTGGCTCAGTGTTAAATTATTATTTTATAACACTTCTAAAGTGCCTTGGGACATTTTTGTTATATTAATGGTGCTATTTAATTGTTGCTATTGCAATTAATATTCAGAAGTGAGAACACAAGCTTTCTAGCGCACCCCACCCCCAAAGTATTTGCCAAATGCTGTTATCTGAACATTAAGATGATTAACTAAATAGAACAGAATTCGAAAAGGAAATACACCTTTTGTAGCTAGCTGCTGGTGAGGGTACAGCTGAAACAAGCCACAAATTAAATAAGAAAGCAGAGAAAGAAACAAAGACTGCAGATGAAAGGATAGCCAATGGTATTTTTTGTAAACTGCCTAGGGTTTTGTTTTTCAGCTTACAAAGAAAAAACAAGTAACTTGCCCCACCACAGCTGGCAACTGTTTCTTTTTCAGCTTGACTACCCATTAAAGCACCTGCTATTTCCCTTGACACTACCCAACCATCCCATTCACCCACACTGCCTCCCACACAACCCACCCCCAAGCAGTATTAAAACATTTGCCAAGAGAAGATCAACAGGTGTGTGCCAGAAAGCCATTCTTTGGAGAACAGAAATTACAGTGGGCAACTTCCATTTCTCCTTCAAAAGCAGGTCTTCCACCCATGGAAACTTGAAAAGGTAGATCAATGGGGAAAAAGATGTGCACATCTAAATATCAAATTAAACAATAACCACAGTGAACAAATCCCTACAGCCCAGTTTAAGACTACAATGCTTCTACGTTTTGTTGTAAGTTTGTATTTTCTCCCCTTACACTTTTTCAGGTCTCCCCTCGCCACAGACCATTCTCCAAGTCACGAGGAAGTGCATGAACATGGCCCCGGGGAAAACATCCCTCCAAATTTTCCTTCCTCTCTGTGAGAATATGCCTGGTCTCTGCTGTTGAACAAAGAAAGATGGCAGTCATTTTCCAGCAGCCGTACTATGGTTCATGTTGGTTAGGAATAAAGGCCAAGCGTCAGGCTTGGGATGAAGCCCAATAATTTATTAGGTGGTTATAAACTCCAAATTGCAAAGGAGATTGACAAACAAGCTTTGAGAACATAGAGGGATTGAACATTAGTTGACCAGATCCCCAAGTGATATTTACTAACTACTGCTCAAGATGCTCTGTTAACACTGGTAGTTTGTCAACATCTCTATATAGCCAACAGCCATCAACTTAGACTACTACAATCTCATGATTTAAAAAAAAATAGTTATGTAAAGAAATTTAGAAATATCTATCAGGTAAATCTACAGAAACTGATTTGTAACTGGGTAGCTTAGTGTCTTTGCCTATATTATTTAAAATTAAGCTTTTCCAGGGCATTACTTGCGTTTCCTTACGCTGAACCCATAACAGCCATGTCCATAACATTCCTAAATTCACTTTTCTGAGGCAAAAACAACCCACCAAGTTCATGGGGTGATTTGAAGATCCTGCTGTTTACTTGGCTTGTAACAAGTAAAATGATCAAGACTACTTTGAACCACCCAGCAGCAAAAAGTTAGTTACAAAAGAAAGGCAGAATTCTTCAGCAGAGAAGGATGAAATGTGAGAAGGAAGAAATGGGCAATATGGGTTTAAGTTCCAAGCCAATACTGAGGAAACAACCCGTACCATGCAGGGGGTCCTGTGGGGAAAAGTAAGTGCAACTTTGTGCTTATTAAATGTTGTACATGTACAGTTAGGGAGACCCAAGTGTTTGTATGTGGAAAATATAAATCTGAAAAGAAGAAAATTAAATAAAACATGGAAACAAAATAGTTCACAAATTTACAAAATGTTACACCTGTAAAATTCTTGTGAATCTGTTAAGTGAAGGGAAAGGCTCATGTGCACAAAGTACTTTCCAGTTCAGTATTTGAAAATGGAAGACCTCTATTATCATAAATTCAGTCAGATATTTCTCTCTAATTATGACGACTGTAGGTCAGTTGGATTTCAAGCTGATCATGGTTTGTGCAGACAGTCCACATACACATCAGTGCTGGAGAATGAAACATTTGATTCAAGGACCTCTTCTGTCATTATCAAACACAATTGAATCCAAAGTATGGGCAGTCAATTTGTGCTCAACTAAATGCAGTTGTGCTGTGGGCCTGCAGCAAATAGCAAGAAATTAAATTTAATTCCTGCAAGATCCAAATAACCATGAGATTGCAAACTCTGTATTGGACTGTTCTGCCTTTTGAGGCATTTAAATTTGAACATTAATTTGAATCCTCACCATTTATTCTTACATAAAGAAAATATCATTGCTGATATGCCTTTTATTGCTGAACAGAAGCAAAGCATTATGATTAATAAGATTTAAGGTCTTGATTTTGTTTTTTAAAAGTTTAATTTTTAAAACAAAAACTTTAAATGGTAAGCACTAATGATAGAAGAAGGGGTACTTGCACAGGTGAGTATGGAGTCGTATAGCTTGAAGAACTTTTACATCATTGCTGGGGTTACAACAATTTTCACAACAGCCACCTACGTTCTCCACTGTCAATATTATCAGCCGTCAGTTCAAAACACTGCATTTAAAACTTATCCCCTCATTAAAGCTGAGACAATGACTATTGTTCAGGTCCCAAGTAGCAGATTATTAGGCTATGAGAAGGCATTATTAGAAATCTGATATGGTACTCAACTGATAACTATGCCTGAATACTTTCCAACATGGAAACTCCAAATCAAGATTCCCAATTAAACATCAGAATATTTGTATATAATATTTTGATAATCTTTTAAAACGAAAAGAATTTCATATTTCTAGCATTTCAAATTTTCTTATCACGACTAGGGACATACCTGAAGCTGTCACAACATGAGCTGGTCCATGCTGCAAATGCTCCATAGTTTGTGGTCTGATCTCTGAGATTACTTGATGGTTAGAACTTTGATATTCAACTAATTTCACTGCGTCAGACTCAAATGACTGGATATCCACCGACACAAGACACACTAACATATCTGATAAGAAAAACAAATTGCTTACTAAACAAGTCCAAAACTAAAGTGGAATATGGCTTTCATAAATGTTTTCTCATTTTAAGGCCCATTCAAAATTTGTCCAATTAAGCCGGTTCACAATAACAACGTATGTTGAGAACTTTGGATGTCTGCTGCCGTCCACCCACGCCTCAAAAAACCACCACTTGACCCCATCAATCTTGCAAACTACTGATCCATCTCCAGCCTCTCAAGTCCTTGTAAGGTGTCTCCTTCCTAAATTTGTGCCCAATATCTCGAAATCTCCTTGTTTGAATCCTCCAATTAAGGCTCTACCCTGCCACAGTACCAAAAAAGTTCTTAAAGTCACAAATGTCATCCCACACACCTGTGACAAAGCACAAAGGTAAGCTTTCCTTCCTCCTCCTTCTCTACCTGCGTACTGCCTTTAACAGTTACCGTAACATTTTCTTCTAAAGCCTGTCCACACTCATACCAGTTGGGTGTGACAACTTACACCTCATTCACCCTTTTCTTCTTGTAGCCAGAGAATCACTTACAATGGTTTCTCCCTCCACTCCAGCACTGTTACTTCTGGCGTCCCTCAAGGATCTATCCTTAGTCTCCCCTCATTGCTCACCTCCAGTCTGTCTCTTGACTATATCATCCAAAGGCATAGAGCTAGTTTTCACAAGTACTTTAAGCATATCCAGTACTACCTCACCAATATCTCTGCAGACTCCTCCATTTTATTCCATTGTCAAACTCTTTGCCTGACATTTAGTACTGAGGGAGGAAAAATGTTCTATAATTAAGTACTGGGAAGACAGAAGCCATTGCTTTCAGGTTGCTATTCCAAAGCGAATGACTCCATCCCTCTCCCTGAGGAGGGTCTTAAGATTAAGACAGGCTGCTCACAACCGTGGCATCGCATTTAGTCCAGAGATGACCTTCTAACTTCTCATTCATAGAAACATTAAAACTGCATGACTCTACTCCTGGTTCATCTCATTTGCTTTGGAAAACTATTCATTTCTTTGTTATCTCTAGAATTGAAGATATTTTAATGTATTTCTTGCTGATCTCCTACACTCTACAGTCTGTGAACTTAAGATTATTAAAAATACTGTTGCACTTAACTTGTATTATGTTCCATTCTCCCATTGCCTCTGTGTGAGATGGTCGACATTGGCAACCTGTTAAGCAATGTTTGCTTTACATAATTTTCATCCTTCCTTTCAAAACCCTCTGTGGCCACGCTGTTCCGCTATCTCCTCTAACTCTGGCATCTTGTGTATCCCCAGTTTTAATCATTCTATCATTGGTGGCTAAGTCTTAGCTGTCTGGGTCCAAAGCTCTGGAATTCCCTCCCTACACTAACTCAAAAGAACCTAACTCACTGTGCCCTTCTACTCTCAGGAGCACTACTATTACACAGCCATCCTGTTCCATGGTCTTCATAGGACTAAAACATGATCTACAGTTAAAAATGAAACTACATGTTTTTCTCACTCAGCTAAGAACACCTCCACCCAAGTTTAAAACAAAATAGATTCCAGAACACACTAACAAACTATGGAGACCTTGTCATTTACCATGTTGGATTGCAAACAAATGTACATATTGCACAAGACTCATTAATTCTACAGCCAGGCTTCAAAAACTGTTTCAAATGAAATCACGTTGGTTACAGAAATACTTAAGTTAATTATTACTTTCAGTCACACATGAAAATACATTGGTTACTAACAACTCCAGAAATGCAAACAGCTAACCTTAAATATTATACATATAAAGCCCAGTTTACATCACGACTGATTCCTATTCAAAAATGTTGTTCCTCCTGAAAAAATGCATAACTTGTCTGAAGCACAATGCACATAACAAAATAACCAATTTAAATACATTTATACCAATCTTAGTGCTTCATTCAGCAAATAAAATTACAAACAATTCATAGAAAAATACAAGATTTTCTCAAATTTATTAATTTTAGGCAGAACGTGACATTCCATTAATACTAGCAACATTTAACAACATAACTTTTTAAGAATTTAAACATCGAATGTTGGCCCCAGAGTCAAGGCCAGCATTTACTGACTATCCCCAAATGGTTGTATGAAGGTGATGGAAAGCCATTTTCCAGAATCACTGGAGTCAGTGAGCTTTAAGCACTTCCTCAATGCTGTTAGGTAGGGAGTTTCTGATATAGCGCTATAAAAAAACGTCAGAAGTGTGCTGTGACTTAGAGCAGGAACCTGTAAATAGGACCTCTTCAACTGCTGCAGATGAACTTAGAGCATGGGTCACTTGGAACTACGATGTTGTGGCCATCACTGAAACTTAGGTAACTCCGGGACAGGAATGGTTGTTGGAAGTTCTGGGATTTAGATGCTTTAAAAGAAATAGGGAGGGTGGTAAAGAGACGGCAGAGTGGCATTGCTAGTCAGGGCTAGTACAGCAGCTACTTAAAGGCAGTTCGAGAATGATAGGTCTGCAGAGTCAGTTTGGGTTGAGGTCAGGAACAAGAAAGGAGCAATCACTTTGTTGGTTTTTTTTTAAATACAGACCCCCAAATAGTTGCAAAGAAGTGGAGGAGCGGATTGGGAGACAGATACTGGAAAGGTACAGAAGTCACAGAGTTGTAGTCATGGGTGACCAACTTTCCAAATATTGATTGGAAACTTTTTAGTTGTAATAGTTTAGATGCAGCAGATTTTGTCCATTGCGTTCAGGAAGGATTCTTGACACAGTATGTAGATAGACCAACAATAGGAGAGGCCACTTTGGATTTGGTGTTTGGCAATGAACCGGGCTAAGTGTTCGACATGTTGGTAGGAGAGCATTTTGGCGGTAGCGATCATAACTGTTACTTTTACAGTAGTCATGGAAAAGGATAGGTACATACAGCAGGGTAAGGTTTATAATTGGGGGAAGGGGAATTATAATTCTGTTAGGCAAGAACTGGGTAACATAAAATGAGAACAGATGCTGTCAGGGAAGAGCACTATAGAAATGTGGAGATTGTTTAAGGAATGCATACTGTGTGCACTCGATATGTTTGTCCCTAGCAGGCAGAGAAGATGCGGTCGAGTGAGGAAGCCTTGGTTCTCGAGACAGGTCAAATGACTGGTTAAGAGGAAGAAGGATGCTTATATAAGGTTTAGGAAACAAGGATCGGAAAAGGCTCTAGAGGGATACAAGTTAGCCAGGAAGGAGCTGAAGAAAGGACTTAGGAGAGCTGCAAGGGGCATGAGAAAACCTTGGCAGATAGGATCAAGGAAAACTCCAAGGCTTTTTACATGAGGAATAAGAGAATGACCAGAGAAAGGGTAGGGCCGATCAAGGATTGTAATTTGTGCACGGAGCCTAAAGAGATAGGAGAGGTCCTTAATAAATACTTTTCTTCGATATTCACAACTGAAAGGGACCTAGTCGTAGGGGAGGACAGTGTGAAACAGGCTGGTAGGCTAGAAGAGGTCGATGTTAGTAAGGAAGATGTACTAGGAATTTTGAGGAACTTGAAGATAGATAAATCCCCTGGGCCTGATGGGATTTATCCAAGGATTCCATGGGAAGCGAGGGAAGAGATCGCAGGGCCTTTGGCGATGATCTTTTCGTCCTCACTGTCCATGGGTATAGTGCCAGAAGATTGGAGTGGCTGGTTCGGCCACATCTGGAGTATTGTGTCCAGTTCTGGTCACCTCATTACAAGAAAGATATGGAAGCGTTGGAAAAGGTGCAGAGGAGATTTACCAGGATGTTGCCTGGAATGGAGGGAAGGTCTTACGAGGAAAGATTGAGAGAGCTAGGGCTTTTCTCTTTAGAGTGACGAAGGATGAGAGGTGACTTGATAGAGGTGTACAAAATGATAAGAGGTATAGATAGAGTAGACAGCCAGAGACTTTTTCCTAGGGTGGAGGTAGCTATTATGAGGGGGCATAGTTTTAAACTGAGTGGAGGTAGATAATAGGGGAGACGTCAGAGGTAGGTTCTTTACTCAGAGAGTGGTAGGGACGTGGAATCCATTGCTGGAACGGGTAGTGCAGTCGGCCTCATTAGGGGCATTTAAGTGGCTATTAGATAGGCATATGGATGATAGTATAAGGTAGGGGTGGAGGTTAGATAGACCTTAGGTTTACGAGTAAAAGCTCGGCACAACATTGTGAGCCAAAGGGCCTGTACTATGCTGTACTGCTCTACGTTCCCCTTGTTTTACTAGATGATAGAGGTCACAGATTTGAAAACCACAGAAAAAGGAGCTTTATTGGTTGCTGCACAGTATTTGTAGGTACAGTGCTCCAGTGATAAAGGGGTGCCAAACATGCTCTGTGCCAGATGGTGACCAGAGTGTTGTTCATGGTAATATCACAACATAGGAAGGTAGGACTTCATCTCGGTCATGGAGTGTTGCAGATAGATGCAACTGCAAATGGTCAATTGGCAAGCATCGGGATAAAGTCAGTATTTCTCGTGTATAATCTCTCACCACTCACCAGGCCCATTCCAGCAGCCTCGGTCATTGAAGGCTTGACCAGTTTGGTCAACAGTGATGTTACCAGGCTATTCAGAGATTGACATTGGAAGTCCACAATCCAGAATACCTTTGGTGTCCTCGATATCCTGCATGCTGTTTCCGAGTCATGTTTAGCATGAAGGGATATAGGTTCATCAACTGAGGCTAATAATCAGGAGATTTCCTTGCCTAAGTTTGATACCATGAGAATTCTTGGGTCATGAGGCAAATTTGAAGGCAGGTAGGGCTATTCCCTCAACTATTAAACCACACCTTTGGTGGAACTGCTTTATCAGTTGGTCAGGACATACCCAGGAATAGTGATGAAGACTGGGATGTTAGCTGAATAGTATGTTTCTGTGAGAATGACGGTATCGAGCTGATTTTTTTCACCAGGCTGTGGACAGATCTCTCAATTTTAGTACAATGAGTGGAAGAGGACTTTGCAGAATTGATAAAGGCACACTTGGCTCTGTTATTTACACTCCGACCAGTACTACCTGGAGTCGAAGCACTATTATTGCCAGAGAACAGCAGAATCCCACATGCCAATTTGTGCTTGTCACTCCCCAATCTTATTAACTACGCTCTGTGCATATGTGTGTGCAGTGGAACCCTTAATTATACTTTGTTACTTTGTCCCTAACTCCATTATCTTCCTATTCTCTAATTTTATGCTATTGGCCTCTCCCAGTCTTTGTCCACTCTGGTATTATTCTCCAATTTTCTTTGTTTCCCAAACCCAAGGGTGGGAACCATTTTTTCTTTTCCCTTTTAAAGTACACATTAGAATGCTCACCATGTTCTCTCTAATTTAAATGCAAAAAGATGTAACATGCAAATCTTAAAGATTAGCAACGAGAGTCGGAAAGTTCAGCAAAATGGAAGATGGAAAGGCCACAAAAAGAAAATTTCCCAAACATTAACTGCATTTAAATATTCCAATCTAAGTTTTTACAAAACCTCAATTTCTAATTTATAATGAACAACATTCCAATCTGTAGAAAATGTCACACTTGTCTTTCAGAGAGAGGATACAACATAATCAGCAAGTCATTAATTGATTTAGATAAATACACCCCAAGGGATTTTGCTGCACTAAGAGTAAGAATGACGAAAAAAGTCTAAACGAAGTTACTGCTTTACCTTCAACAACATTTAAACTTACCCACACATTTTTCCACGCTAACTATCTTTGTGCAGGGTACTTCTCCTAGTTCAGTTAGCATGTATAGCACCTCTAATGAGGAGATTACCAGCAGCATATCAGGCAAAGTTAGATGACATATAATTTCTTTGTAAGACTCCTGATCCACGTATTCACATATCAAATCTGCATTATCTTCAGCTCTACATAGATTTCCTAGTATTTCCATACCTGCAAAAACATAAAATAATGTATCAAAACACCGTGTAAAACTAAACAGAATCTATGACATTATGACAGTAGTTACTCACCTCTTATTTTCAAACACTTGTCGCAGGAAAGTAGACATTTAGTTACAGTATGAAAAATTAGATGAGTACTTTTAAAATCAACAGGATCCAACTGAAGCTGTAAAATTTAAAAAAGGCATGTTACAATACTGCATGCATTGTAGCCATATTACCATCTAATAACTGAGTGATATATATTGTTGGTTCAAGATTCACACTAAGAACAAATTTTAAGAAAGTATAGCTGGAATCAAATTTAAAAGATTATAGTTATAGGACAAAGACAGGTAATACAGTTTTGAAACAGGTAGTGTCCAAATACTGAAATTGTGTAATGTAAGTAAAGCTAGCAGATATTGTTATCAGGTGCTTGCTGGCAACTGATATTGAAACAAAAACATACAGTAGTTAGAAACACATAAGGACTCAACCCAGAAATCATCCGATCCTATTTTGGAGAAAGAATGAATAACGGAACTAAAAAAAAAAAATTGCAAGACATTCAATGACACAGTATTGGGAAATATAAGACCTACATCAGGAAACAAAGCAAATTTCCAGAGAATGTGAAGCACCCAAAATCATTATGACTACAAGTCTGAATATTATAAATTAAGAAAAGTGCAATATTATTAAGGGAGAATTGGTTGTCGGTCAGTAAGACTAACAACATTTGCCAAAAATTATATGGAATGGTCTGGCAGCTTCAGGCAAGGAGCAGATTTAGGTATTAGCATTTAAAGGTTGCTGTCTCAGTTTAGTCACTTGACCATGAGCTGAACTGTGCTGGCGTGAAGTTGTTGCTTTTGCTATGTACCCCTAAAAACTCAAAAAGAATGAGAATACCATTAAACAATATGACCGTTTTGACAGTAAATTCTGGTCTACTATTTAAAGGTTAAGTACCCTTTTAACTACTTGGTAAATGCTATTCATAATAACTCGCATCTCTGACTCCAAAAATGAACTCGAGTTGTACAGTCACATTCCTCCAGATTAATTGTTTGGAGATTGCGAAAATAAATTTAACTTTTACTTTCCCTTTGCCTCTCTACCCTCTCTCTTTAAATTCAGTCATATTTCCCTAACTGTACCAGATCTGACAAAAGGAACACAAGGCTTATAAGCAAAAGTAGGTCATTTGGTTCTCTAAGACTGCTCTACCATTCAGGAAGATTATGGCTGACTTGGTTGTGATTTCACGACCATGTCCAATAAAGAGAAAATCTAACCACTTCCCCTTCACACTCAGTGGTATTACTATCACTGATTCCCCACTATCAACATCCTAGGGGTTACCATTGACGAGAAATTCAACTGGACTTGCCATATAAATACAGAGGCTACAACAGCCAGTAAGAGACTAGGAATACTGCAGTTAAGTGACTCTCCAAAGCCTGTCCACCATCTATAACGCTGAAGTGTGATGGAATACTGCCCACTTACCAGTGAGCACCGTTCCAACAACATGCAAGAAGCTTGACACCATCCAGGACAAAACAGCACACTTGACTGGCACCACATCCAAAAACATCCACTCCCTCCATCACAGATACTCAGTACATACCGCTGTCTACTATCTACAGGATGCACTGCAGAAATTCACCAAAGTTCCTTAGACAGCACCTCCTAAAGCCATGACCACTTCCATCTAGAAGGACAAGGGCAGCAGTTACTTGGGAACATGAACAAGCTGCATGTTTCCCTCAAGGCCACTCACCATCCTAACTTGGAAGTATATCGTTGTTCCTCAAGCGTTGCTGGGTCAAAATAATGGAGCTCCCTCCCCAAGGGCATTGTGGGTCCACCTACAGCACACAGACTGCAGTGGTTCAGGAATGCAGTGCACAATCACCTTCTCAAGGGCAACCTGGGACAGACAACAAACTTGCCCAGACAGCGACAGCCATGACCCACGGGTGATTTTTTTTTTAAAAAAATGCATGATCACCACTAGACTAGCTTTTTAATTTTGAAATCTTTCATTGATTTCAAATTTCACCATCTGTTATGTTGGGACTTAGCCCATATCCCTAGAACATAGGTCTGAGGTCCTGGATTATTAGTCCCGTGACATTACCACTATACCACCCCAATTATATCTTCTTTTCAAAAGGAAGGAAACCTAAATTGCATGCAATAGTTCAGATGTAACTCCCCAACCTCCTGTACAGTTGCAATAAAACTTAATTCCTTTAAGGTTCAAATCACCTTGTAGTAAATGATAATAATCCATTTGCCTTCCCAGCAAATTAACTTTCTAATGATTCACACACTAGAACATCCAGGTTTCTCTGTACCACCAAGTTTTACAATCTCTTTCCAGTTAAGTGGTCTGTAATAAATCTCATTCTAAGCAATTGAACTTGGCATTAGATGCTCTATATAATAAAATCATAACCATCTGAATACAGCTTCAGCATTCACAATATCTGAGTTTATAATAAAACCAGATGGGAAACTTTTCTGCAAGGAGGTGAAGTCGTGTCATACTAAAAGTAGGCATCCCAGCTGTGGTTTTGGAACGATAATATGTTTGAAGAATTCTAGGAATTTCTATTCTGTCAGAATCACCGATGACAGAGATCCCCTTCTCCCTGGATCTAATTTATCTCCAGTTTAGCATCAGGAACAATGGTCTTCAAAAACAGCTTGACATTCCCCAATGAGAATCTCAGACTTCCCTACTCCACCAACGTTTAAAATGGATCTCACTTCCAGCATAATCATCGACTAACATGTCACTAATGTTTGCCCTAGTTTTTTTGCCTGTTACTTCCCCCACTGCTTTCCTTCAAGCCAAAATTGCCACCCAAACTCCTTGACTTTCCTTCCTGCCCTCATGATTGCTGACATTCTAATTAGTTCCTTTAAGCTATTGTCCATCTTTTAAATTTATGGCTCTCTTCCTCAAATGCTCACCTTCCCATCACTCAGTCCTTGGTAGTATTCCATCCCTAACCTCCATTTTGGCTACAAAGTCTTCAGCATATTGTCATTTCCCAAAACTTATGCATTTTTCCTGCAACTCAATGTTTAAAGTTTTACCAATTAGGTTACCAACACAGAGGGTTATAAAAAAAAACCCTTACTAAGACTGCCACCTTTTTTGTTTTCTTTCATCCGATATGACAATCAGCATTTGCTGCTGCTCCTTAATTACCCTCAAGTACATAGTGATGTGCTGTCTTCTTAGCCTGCTGTTATCCAAGTGGTGCAAGTACACCAATGGTGCTGCTTGGGAGTTCCAGGATTTTGGCCCAGCGACAGTGAAAGAGCAGCAATATAGACCTAATTAAGAACGCTGTGTTGCTGAGAGGGAAACTTGCAGGTGGCGGTCTTTCCATGCATCTACTGTCCTTTTCCCTCTTGGTGAGAGAGATCGCAGGTTTGGAAGGTGCAGATAAAGGACCATGGCAAGTCACTGCACTGGACTTTATAAACGGTGCATGTTGCTACTACTGGCATCAGTGGTGGAAGGAGTAAATATGGAAAGTGGTGAATGTGGTGCTGATGAAGTGGACTGGATTATTCTGGATGGTATAGAGTTCCTCAACTGCTGTGGGAGCCGTACTCAACCAGGCAAACAAAAAATCTCCTAGCATATTCATACCTTGTGCTGTGTAGGTGCTAGGCAGATTTTGGGCAGTCAAGTTACATGCCTCAGAATTTGAAATCTCTAACCTGCTCTTGAAGGCAGTCCAGTTCATTTTCTGGTCAATAGTAACTCCAGGATGTTGTCAATGTGGAATTCAGCGAAGGTCATGCCACTAAACATCAAGGAGAGGTGATCACAAGTTCTGAAGAAGGGTCACTGGCCTCAAAACATTAACTCTGTTTTTCTCTCCCCAGGTGCTGCCAGATCTGCTGAGTTTCTCCAGAAATGTATTTGTTTCAGATCTTCAACATATACAGTTCTTTGTTTTATGATTAGATTTTATGTTCTTGGAGACAGTCATTGCCTGACAATGCTGATGAAAATGATTAAGTGGAAATGAAAAAGGAGCAAGCATAGTCAAAGCAGATGCAAGTTTCTTGCTTCGTTCTTTCTTGAGCATGTGATTTAAGTGCAAAACAAATCGTGTGGCAAATCTTGCATGAACAGAAAAAAGTAAGTTGTGAATGTCAGACTAAAGGAGAAATCAGAGGCTGACCGAAGGGGACGAATGATAATAGCTATTCTTTGCCTAACATGCCAAGTGCTAGGTCCATTGATGCACTTCTTGGGGCAGTCTGCTGGAAATCAAACCATGCTATTCCTTCACTTGTCACAAAAGTTAAAGATTTTGAAAAGTACAGAAAATTTTCCCCAATTTACCTGTCTTTTACACCCAGGTTGACAGAAAGCAGAGACCAGGTTTCTGTACTTAAAAATGATCATTTATCACAAATAAATATTTTTTATGTATAGTTAGAAAGTATGAATAGCTGACATATAATTCTTCTAGTCAAAGTTCTAAACCCATTATAAACTACCCCTTCTGCATACACGTAAAGAAAAACACAGGAATACAACCAAAAAGAGTTTTATGGGCAGAGGTAAAGACTGGGAAAGGAGTTTGATGGCCCCTGTTCACAAGGTCTGCTGAGATGGTCCTTTTGGCTTGTCAGGATGTGCTGCTCCTCTATAATCCTTTTCCAGATCTTTTCATCGATTTGCAGGAAACTTATACAAGGTATTTGACTTAACGACTAGAAGTAGGAAATCAAATAGCTATCTTCAGGTTTGAGATTTTTTTTTTTTAAACTGAAAAAAAAACAACTCCTTCTCCTCCAAAGATTTCTGCCTTTGGTTTCTGCCAAAACATTCACATCACAAGGGTTCAGCTACCCAGGAACCAATGTCATAGTAATTGGTAGATAGAAGACTTTCGTAATTAAAAACTGGTCTGTGGACAAGGTGACTAATCAGCTACTCGTTTGTCAGCCAAAGCTCCATTCCTTAGCCCCAGCTTGTCTGCTAGCTAAATTTCCACTACTACTTGAACAAGCAGCGTCGTAGGTAGTACTTATGAGTGTCAGGTTACTTGTTTTTAAATGCAGCTTATCTTAAAAAAAACACACACATTGTTGCAAGTCTTCCCACTTCAATCCACAAATCAAAAATACAGAAAATAAAAATACAGTCTTTTTACTACAGTATGCAACTAAGTATTTATTGAAGATGATTTGAACATATTCCTTAGTTGAGCGTATGACCTAGTTTAAATTAAGGAGTAATTGTAACAGGACAGAGTATAAACTGTTTTACAAACTGAAATGTCCTATTTGTCAGAATAATTTCATACCTCAGCTGCTACGTTACCCAATGTGTCCAGCCCCAGTTGCTTGAGAGAAGCATACTGACAATGGGAACATAACAACAGGAAACGGACACATGTACGGTGAGCTGCCAATAGCTTCACATTTCCTTCCTCAAATGACAAATTGCGAAGGATTACTGCTATCTGAAGTATACGTTGCCCCTCAACATCATTGATGCCCACTTTATGAGGGGGATGGAATAAAGACGACTCCGTATCGATTTCTATACTCGTACCTAAATTAATATAAAGACCAATTTCAATTACAGGAGCAAAACAGCAAAACGTAAGCAAAATTACAGATTTATATGGAAAAACAAAGCGGCAGAACAGAACAAAAGTGCTAATGCTCCTTCCCTCCACTTTGGGAGTAAATCAGTAATTCTCATACCATATATCTTCAACAATACAATAGAATTTGGGAACTCACCTCATGAAAATTAAGGATAACATAATTTTTAAACCATTCAACCCTACAGAATATTGAACAATTATAAGCTGTAGATGCTACTTCAGTCTTGAAACAGTGCAATTAAAATTATAATAAATATCAACTTTTCAGTTAAACTTTTACTTCGTCTCTTGTACTTTGAAAAAATTATTACTTTACTAACCTTGTGGTCCATTGTTCCTGAAAATAATAAGTTCCCGTATTTCACTATCTTCAACATTATCTTTCCAGAACTACAAAAGTCAAAAGAGAGGCCATTTTAAGTTATACCAAGCATAATAAACTTCTTGCTAGAACTTTGTTAACAGTATTCATAATGAAACTGCATATGAAAATAAAGCCACAAAGAATACTCATGCAACAGTCCTTCAAAATGTTACCCACAGAATTTTATTCATATCACTGCAACAATAGGTATTTTGGATTTAAAATGATAATTCAGCGTGGAAAATTACCACCTGATACAGTAGTTGAATAGCTAATAATTCAGAAGACTGAGATAATATGCACATTCGTCAAGATGTTTAAATGTATTTGTCTATCAATATGTAGATATACAGTTACATACAGAACAATTACTGAATGTAGAAAACTAAACATTTCACACATCCTAAAAACAAATCTAAATTCTGAATAATTATTGAATTACACTTGGATAATTTGAGTAGTATATCAAATACACACAGTTGTTACTGAAAATAAACAGGAGTTTTAAGTTGAGATTTTTATGAAGTCTCATGTAACACAGAAAACGTTTCAAGTTTGAGTTAAAAGAAGTGGATTGTAGAGACAATATTTCAAAACAACCAAGAAGTGATAATTCTGATGCAGGTTATGAACAATTCCTCAGATATAATGCAACTTTTAATTAGATAAATCTTTGCAAAAATACATTGGCTAACTGAAATTTTATTGACAGCAGTCAAAGAACAGCACTTGTTTCTCACAATGCTGGTCATAGAGTTGTCAGACTTTTACGTGGAGATTCTCTGTAATTAGGGCGTACTCCAGCTCAATGTCCTCCACAGAAAACCGGTAACATTTTTTTTTAAGCAAGGCGAACAACATTGTGGCTCTTCAGCCAAACAACTGGATTGAAGAAACCTCATTGAGGCACAGACTGGATTTCATTAAAATAGTCAGGTCCCTGACATCCAACAGTGAGAAGGATGAAGGATATTGGAAAGGAAACCTCACTGGCCACCTAGACTAGTATTAAGAACTTGACTGAGCAGCAACAGTAATTCTAGCCCAAATAAAATTAAGCTTAGCTAGCCACCTGCTATTATTCTATAGGTAGCAAGTAATAGTCAGATCCTGGACCCACTACGATCACGTTGGGGTGTTACCCTAATATGACATACACTAATTTTGCTCTAGGTTCCATCTCCAAACCGGTCTCTGTGGGACAAACAAGATTTAGCCCTGTGTTAATCCAAGAATTTCAATTATGTACAAGATAAGAAACAAAAAGAATTGAGAGAGAGGAGGGAATAAAAAGATAAAAAATTAAATCCTTAGCATGAATTGAGCAATCAGACACCAGGTGACTAAAATTCAACTTTCTGCATCTGCATCACAGGAGTTGTTTTGCAGTAACTAGGGGAGGTGGTAATGTCACACTAATAATTCTGAAATCTTCTGAGAACAGGAGTTCAAATCTCATCACGGTAGATGGTGAAAACTAAATTCAATAAATAAATCTGGAAATTTAAAAAAAAACTAGGTTAAACTGTGGACAGTTGCTTTAAAAACAGAAACAACTGTCTGCTCCACTAATGTCTTTTAGGGAAGTAAAGCTGTCATCCTTACCAAGTCTGGTCTGTACGCGACTCCAGCCCCACAACATTGAGATCAACTCTTAACTCAAGATCAACTTCTGAACAATTAGGGATAGGCAATAAATATGCCTCAGTAAGACACACACACTCCATGAACAAAAAAATTATGACCTGCCCTTTTAAGAATTTGCTAACATACGTCTGAACACACTAGCCTAACACCTTTTTTTTTGCTGTGTTTAGTGGACAAGTTGTCATATTGTGGTTGGGTCACTCACCGAGCTGGTTTGTTAGTTTGCAGACATTTCATTACCCTGCTGGGCAACATCATTAGTGCAGCCTCCGATGAAGCGTTGTTGGGTTTTCTCGCTTGGTATTTAAACTCTGGGGTCTGTTGGAATTGGTTACCTCATTTCCAGTTTTTCTTCACAGTGGTGTATAAATAGGGTCTAATTCTAAGTGTTTATTGATGGCCTTCTTGGTCCACAAATCTACTCAAGAACCTTAGACAACTTGTCATAAATACCACAATTTCCTGTTCTTTCATTGATTTCAGTCCTGAATCTATTAACAGGACAGTGTTACAGTGTAGCCTGTGAATTACAGTAAACTTGTACCACAACATTTGGATTTTTGTATTTAATTGTACGTATATGCGCAAACTATTTACTCTGTAACTACACTGAGCACAGCAAATCTCACTTCCTTTTAGCAACACACAGTTCTATATATTCCTAGTTTTAAATCTACTGCAGAATGGTTTTTAGAAATGCTATACACAAGCTTATGTGCAAAAAATTTTGAATTTTATTAGCTCACTTCACTTGTCTGCTCTGGGTCATGTTCGCCTAATATGGTACTTGTCCCAGCAATGGCGGTCTTGTCCCAGCCGTGACTTCAGGGTATTCCATCATTCCTCAATTGGCTTTCACCCAAGCCCTCGAGCTGTCAACTGAACTGTGATGAACTTTGCCATAATTTTACTTTTTTATTATTGTGTATTACTTCTGCCATTGACCTCGGTGCCACGGTGGAGCAACTTATAAAACTTTTCACTGTGCTTTTCATGTAAAAGTACGTGACAATAAATTTCTATTCTACCTTTTTAATTCATGCCAGTAATTCCTTTTCTTTTCAAAGTTAATTTTACACAGAACTTAAAACCGCAATTATGTCCACGATAAGGAAACGCAAAAACCTCCACAGCATATGGAGTACCATACGTGCTGCCAGTGTACACAGAAACTAAAAGTCAGAGACACCAAGCTTCTTCAGTTCAGATTTTCTATAATGAATTATGGAACAATTAGAAATATATAGCGTGGCTTATGGATGAATCAAATAGTAAGACATGAATATACACCAATTTTTTTGTGAACGCATGCATGCTTGCTTGCCTCAATGTAGGACATGGAAGTGCAAAATGCATATTGCAGTAATGTTTATTTACTGTCAGCAATGGACACCAAAATCTCAGGAGAAGTCACAAAGTTTGACAAAACACTGATACTGATATAAAAACAAAATGCTGGAGAACCTCAGAAGTTCTGATATCTTTTTTTGCAAATTTTGAAAAGGACTCCCTTATCATAGGTAGAAGCAGTCTGTTCCTTCTGCACTGAACTATAGGACCATTTCAATTAATTATCACTGCAAAGAGTTTGCTGTCACAGCACACCAACTGGATACAATTCCCAAGTATAAATTCCATTACACACCATATATAACAGTTCACCAAATTAACAAAAAACTGAAGGAATTAGTTGAGGGACAAATGGGACCAACAGTATAATGCATTACAAGTCAAGACAGCTCTCTCAGACTTATTCTGAGCTTAGCTAAATAATCTTTCATCTCTCATCATGGAATTAAATCAACGATGGTTTTGGAAAGGAAAATGAACGAGTTTCACAGCATCAGTCTTTTCAATAATGCAGGGTATCGAAAGGGCCTGAATCTTAGTTACTACTTCTCTTGTCCAAAATTAAATGGCAGTGTTTTGGTCCAACAGGATGTTAGATATTAGTGGATAGCTGCATACCAAAGCATGATTCTATTTTTCCATGCATTAAATAGAAGAGGTGAACTTTACAAGGCTACATCAAAAGTGACTTAGATCAGCCTCTGCCAAAGTTACAATAATTTAGTTACTTCTATTAAAAAAAAAACTTAGGAGAGGAAAATAATGACAATTGGTTTCGCAAAGTATGATGAAGTGCACAAGTTTTACTCAGAAGAAAGTCGCGGATTAGTCAAAGAAATCTAGCAAGTAATAGATGTATTTATTTTACAATAATAATACCATTATTATTAAATTAATATGACAAAAACACTTAAATCCATGAACACCGAAATTACTTGCATCTATGTTGCACTCTTAACATAATAAAATGCCACAAAAAGATATAGTAAAGGAAATAAGACAGGAACAGAAGAAGAAATGAGTTCAAAACAAAAACAACATTGCCGGAAAAGCTCAGCAGGTCGGGCAGCATCTGTGAAGGAGAAAAAAGTTAACATGTCGGGTCCGGTGACCCTTAAGGCCTGGTGTGTGACCTTACATAGGGCCTAAACTCTCCCAGCCCCCTACCCCACACACCACGCCCTGTTACCACATAGCCTGCCATTACAATCCCCCCCTACTCCCCCCACCCCGTTGTTAGTCACTAACAGTCCCAATTAACAACTATTCACCCTCCCAGCCTGATTGTTATCAACTCTGTCTGTCCAACTGCTCTTTCTCTCTCTTTAAGGCTCTATCCTGTCATTTACTCCCTACCCCCATCCCCCTCCCCTTGCTTCTGCATATAAACTGACGTTTTCCCAGCCACCATCAGTTCTGAGGAAGGGTCACCAGACCCGAAACGTTAACTGTTTTTTTTCTTCACAGATGCTGCCAGACCTGCTGAGTTTTTCCAGCAATTTTGTTTTTGTTCCTCATTTACAGCATCTGCAGTTCTTTCAGTTTTTATTTAGACTCACATCACAAATACTATAACTCATTTCTTGCCCTGTAAAATTAAGTCATACAACATTAAACTGATGATATAGTACATAGCATTGGCATCACAGGAATAGGTTATTAGCCAAAAGTGTCCAAAACAGATTTTACGCTTCCATGAGACTGCTTCCACCGCCTTCCAATTTTTCTTAACTTTTTATCTAACTTTTCCTTGAATAAATCTAAGTTTGCCAACTGAGCTATTCCTCATGGTAGCAAGTTCCATATTCTAACCATTCTCACAGTAAACACAATACTTCTCTATTCCTTAGGCATTTATTAATAATGCCAAGTGTGGATAAGATCAATGCAGTTGATATTGTGTACATGGACTTTCAAAAGATGCTTAAATCAAAACACCACTTTCATTAAAAAGTAAAATTGAAGCTAATGGATTAAAATAAATGGATATTAAATTGGCTAAATTAAAATTAAGAGGGGCATATAGTCC